AGATGTATCTAAATAAGATAATTGTAAGGCGAATACCTCCTACAATATACATGAATGTAATACAAGGTAAATGATAACTCATAAAAAAAGGCTAAGTTGTACCTCATCCAAGCTGTGGCATTTTAATTTGCTTCATATATGTGTAAAAATTGGACAGTGAATAAGGGAGATCAGAGAAGTGATGCCTGTAAATTGTTATGCTAACAAGAATATTAAATATACCATAAGCCGAGAAAAAACCCAAGCATCAGTCTTTGTAGAAGTGAAACAGTCGTGCTTCTTAGAAGGACGGATAGTTATATTTTATCTTACATATTGTGATCTTGTGATCAGAAGGGGCCAGCACCTCATGAAAAGCAGCATACTTGGAAAAGTAGGTGGAAAGATAGGAAACTCTTCAGCAAGGTGGATTGACACATTTAGGGCAACAGTGACTTTTAAGCACAACAGATTAGGATGGTACAGGGTCAGGCAGGATTAATACATTCTCTTGTACATAGGCTCACTGTGCGTTAGAGCTGACTCAACTGTCCCTAACAATAGCATCAGTAACAAGATGGAAGTTCAGGTATTGTTTTGAAATTGTTTTGAAATGTACGTTTTTAAGGTGGACATTTTAATGCTGTAAGTTCTCATCTTGTCACCTTTCTTAGCAATATCATACAGTTTTTGATATATTTTCAGTAAACTACTCACCACTATAATGTAACATTAAGAATAAGAACCCAAGAACATTTAATTGTGCACATGTAAAATCTTTACCTAGACTGAAAAGCAATTGTCTGAACAGAGCAGAGAAATATTGCATCATTTAAAATCAGGAAATAGGTGCATCATGGTTGTATCCTGTCTCCATACCATTTCAGTCAGCATGCAGAGCAAATAATTAGACTATATGACCAACTGAAATAGCTTGCCTCTGGAAACTCTATGAAATTGGAGAGATGACAAAAGTTATAAAAGTGTTCAGGTCTTTTGTTCATAGGGTCTCTATGAGTTGTCTGTGACTTGATGGCACTTAACAACAACAACAACAACAACAACAACAACAACAGACTATATGAAGAAGATTGAAAAGATTGTGTCATCAAGATCAGAGGAAGACTCATTAACAACCTGCATTATATAAATGACACAACCTTGCTTGCAGAAAAGTGAAGAAGACTTAAAGCCTTTGCTGAAGAATATCAAAGACTATGCAGCCTTCATTATGGTTACTTCTCATCATCAAGAAAACAGAATCCTCACTACTGGACAGGCCTGAAACTGTTAATGATTTCATCTTGCTTGGAGCCACAATCAACGTCCATAGTAGCATTAATTAAGAAATAAACAACAGTGTGGAAAATCTGATATCAAAATCCCTCCAGGTGTTAAAGAACAAGAATGTCAATTTAAGGACTTAAGATGTGCTTGAAAAATGAATGACCTTTTCAGTTGCTTTCTATGCATCTAAAAGTTGAACAATGAATAAGGAAGACCAAAGAAAAATTGATGCCTGTGAATTGTGTTGGTGAAGATTGTGAAATAGCTCATAGACTGCTAAAAGAATAAGCAAATCTGACTTGGAGAAGGTACAACCAGGGTACTCTTTAGGGCGTGGTTGGCGAAATGTCGTCTCTCACATGCTTTGAGCATGTTCTAGGAGGGACCAGTCCTTGGAAAAAGACATCATGTTTGGAATGATGGAGAGCCAGAGAAAGTGAGGAAGACTGCCAACAAAATGGACTGATACCATGACTACAGCAGTGGGCTTAAGCATGGTTAGAGATAGTGAGGATGGCACAGGATAGGACATAGTTCATATCTGTTGTTCATAGGGTTACTATGACTTCATGGCCCTTTGCAACAGCAACAATATACCTTCCAGTGACCTTTTTATTAGCAGCCTAGTTTTTTTTTTAATAGCTCCAATAGGGCTCCCTCTTTTTCAGTTATTTTCTAATTTTACTTGAGATTTCTTTAAATCTTGGATTAAGAAAAGAGTACTTAATTTCCACATTTGGAGACTGTCCTGTTAGGTTTTTCTTACTCTAGTTTATTTACAGTATAATAAAAAGTACTTTGACTTTATTTTTAAATTACTACAATGTCTTTGACTTTGTTAATAAAATAAATTTTAGTGCATGTGCATTTGAAAAGAACCTGTTGAATAAATTTTAATTTATTTAAAAATATATTCCTTTACCCAATTAAGCATAAGTGTAATAGCATCAGTAAAGTGCTCATCTGATTAAGTTCTCAAATTATATTGGAGTTTTTCATATTGGGCTTCCCTTTTCCTTGAGGATGCTTCACATTTCCCTGTTTATTATATGTGGAGTAATTTTGGATTATATTCAGGACATTGTGGAGGCTATTTTTATAGAGTAATGATACTATTTTAGCAAAAATTACTTAGCTTCAAAAACAAATTTTATTTCTTCTGTACATAATATATCACATCTCAGTTTAGTTCTCTGAGCATCAGTTACCCTGCTTTGCATTGGTATCATGATTGTAGTTTATAGGTAAGTTTTAAGTCTGCATAGTGTTTATGTAAAGAATTAGGAGACCATTCTCTCTAGTCTCTATTTTAAAAAAAATTTTATTTTATTATGTTTTGTGTATACTGTCAAATCAGATCTGACTGTACAGGAGAAAATTGCCCCTCCTTCTCCTGCAGAGCATCCGGTGGATTCGAACCATGTACCTCTGGGATTGCAGTGCAGCTTTTTGCCATTAGGCCACCAGAGCTCCCTTCTCTAGTCTCTATTAATTCTCTTATTATTCTTGCAGTTGGCTTCAGGACTTCTTTCCTTGGTTTCCCCAGCCAAAAAGATAGTGCTTAATGCCGCTTTAATTTACAAGTAACACACTTTTGAGTAATGGCATTGTAAAGGTGCTCAGATCGGGTTTTACAGAGTGAAACTATAGCCAATATAGAAACTGAATGGATATTACTGTATTCTGTTAAAACTTGCCTTATGGAAGCAGTCAGTGGACCGAGTTTGGGCTGTGGACTATAGTTTGTTCATCCTTGGTCTAGAACATTGGTTTAAATGTTTGACATCTTATTTAAACCAGTATTGACATAGTGAGACCATCCTGAGGGAATGAGATAATTAAAAACCATTTAATAGGAAGAATGATAATAAGAATTAGGGATTTTATGATATTTAAGGGACCACTTATGGAGTGAATATAGAGGGATGTTGCCCTTGGATTTGTTCACCAAGTTGTGCCAAGAAATTTGGAGAACAGCTACCTGGCCAACTGACTGGAAGAGATCCATAACTGTTCCCATTTCAATAAAAGGTGACTTGACAGAATATGGAAATTATATAACAGTTATCACTGATGTCACATGCAAATAAAATCCTATTGAAGATTATCCATAAAGGACTGGAACAGTACATCAACAGAGAACCAGAAACACGGGCCAGGTTTAGAAGAGGCTGTGGCACCAGAGACATTATAGCCAATGTCAGAAGGATCTTGACAGAAAGTAGAGTACCAGAGGAATGTCTATCTCTGTTTAATTGTCTGTGCAAAGGCATTTGACTATGTAGATCACAAGTTGTGGATAACCTTAAGAAGAATGGGAACCCCAGAACACTTGATTGTGCTCTTGCAAAATCTATATTTGGGCCAGGAAGCAGTTGTCAGAACCGAGCAAGGAATCACTGCATTGTTCAAAATCAGGAAGAGTGTGTCAGGGATGTGTCTTGTCACCATACCTTTTCAATCTATATGCAAAACAGACCATTCAGGAGGCTGAACTTTATGAAGGGGAATGTGGCATCAGGATTGGAGGAAGACTAATCAACAACCTGCATTGTGCAGATGACAATACCTTGCTTGCCAAAACAGGGGAGGACCTGAAGTGTTTGCTGTAGAAGGTCAAGGACTATAGTCTTCAAATTGGATTGAAGCTCAACATCAAGAAGACGAAGATTCTCACCACTGCCCCCACTGGCAGCATCATGATAGATGGAGAAGAGATTGAGACTATTAACAATTTCATCTTGCTCACATCCACAATCACAACTCAAAAAAATAAAAAAAAAATCTAAAGACATTGCACTGGGGAACACTGCTGTCAGGGACCTCTCCCAAGTGCTAAAACCCAACAATGTCTGTCTGGGGATTAAGGTGCGCCTGATTCAAGTGATGGCCTTCTCAGTTACTTGCTATGCATCAGAAAGCTGGACAATGATTAGGGATAATAGAAGAAGAATCAATGCCTTTGAGTTGTGGTGCTGGAGCAGAGTATTGAACATACTATGGGCCACCAAGAGAATAAACTGATCTGTCCTGTAAAGGGTGAAACTAGGCTGTTCGTTGGAGGCAAAGATTTTGAAGCTCCGTCTGACATACTTTGGGCATGTGGCCAGGAGGAACCAGTCCTTGGAGAAGGACATCATGCATGGAAGGGTGGAGGGACAGAGCAGGAGAGGAAGACCCTCGATGAGATGGATAGACAAAGTAACTAGAAATATGGGTTTATGTGTGTCAGAGAGAGTGAAGACTGGCTCCAGATAGGGCAGAGTTCAGAGCTATTATACGTAGTGTCACTATGAGTGATGGCACATAACAGCAACAACAACATGTGCAGTAGGAGTTAGACTTCTCTGATTAATAAGGCAGAACAAGAGCCATTGTATGTAAATAAGGAATATTTTAGTTCAATATTAGACTATATAGGAATGAGAGATTACCTACTTGCTAATAATTTTAAATGATTAAGGTATGAGGTTTGAATTCTGTGATATATTACATTTCAAATAAATTCTGTTCTTTAAATAAGTTAACAGTTTGAAAGTTCTTACTATTTTGTTCATTCTCAACCATCACTTTTAGTTTTAAGTAAATCTAGTATAGACTTAATTTCTCTTGCAGAAAATTAGCCATCTAAGAAATTCATAGTTTTTCTGAACACAAAATTTGGACAGCTTGACTTTTGTTAAAAATATATATTTATGCTTTGACTGTAAAGATTTATTGATATTTTTGAATAGGCAGAAAACCAAAAGCTTTTAGATGATAAGAAACAATTTGAGGAGATGGCTGAAGAATTAAAAGGAACAAAACAAGAATTAAGTGTTCGTCTTCAAATCAGAGAGGTATGCTTAGGGGTAAATTTTTTTATAAGATATCTGTTAGCATACAGATTTAATAAATATGGTGCAGCTATTTAACTTGTAAAAGAATTATTCATAAAATTAATTTTATAGTATCTTATCCTAATGTATTTAATATTTTAAAGGTTTATTTACATTATTGCTTGCCCAGATTACCTCCATAGTTTAATGTGTGATAAAAGTATTTAAAATATAACTTTAAGAAATTAAAAAAAATATAACTTTAAAGTTTGTAATAATTACATTGTCATGTCATATGTATTAGCACATTTCATATTTAGCTTTATTAAATTAGGCTTTTAGATAATAATGCTTTGATAATACTCATAGTTTTAGATTGTATTTATTTTGAAGAATTCAGAATTCTTGTTGTTACTAGTAGGTGCCATTGAGTTAAGTAGGAATCATATCTACACTGTGAAGGACAGATATGAACCCTATCCTGTCCTGTGCTCTCATCAACAAACATCTGTAACATATTTGAACCCATTGTTACAATCTCTGTGTCATTCCATCTCACTGAGAATCTTCCCCTTTTATAGTGACCCTCAACCTTTGCAAATCTCTTTCCAGGGATTATTGTTGTTGTTCGGTACAGTGGAGTTGGAATCTCCCAGAGCAGAGGCCATAAATCTACTGGGAGGAGCTTGTCCGTCTTTCTCTTGTGGAGAAAGCTTATAGAATTGAACTATGCACCTTTGGGATTACAGTGTAGCTTCTTACCAACAAGCCATAGCCCCTCCTAATGGTGAAACTCCAGCTCAAATCTGGGAATGTTGTAAGGTGGGGCCAATCCTTGGAGAAGGTTATGCTTGGAAAGGTAGATGGCCATTGTGTAAGAGAGGAAGACCATCACCAAGATGGATTGACATAGTCACTGGGAAAATAAACCTCAGATATGTTGGAGATGGTGAGGATGATACAGGATACTGCATCATTCAGAGTTGTTGTTCATAGGGGTCACTATAAATTATAGTAAACTTGATAACAAAAACAGCATGCTCAAAGTATGTGAGATGAAACTTTGCCATCATTGCCTTTAAAGAGCACTCTGGTGTACTTTCTCCAAGGCATATGGCAGTCCATGGGGTATTCAGTACTCTTTTCTAGCACCTTACCTCAAAGGCATCAGTTCTTTTTCCATCATCCTTATTCACTGTCCCTTTGTGACTGAGATACTTCACTCAGCATAATGTCCTCCAGGGTCACCCATTTTGAATAATATTCCATGAATTCCTTGTTTTTCAATAAAGCATAGTATTCCATTGTGTATACCACAGCTTCTCGATCCATTAGTTTGTTGATGGGCACTTAGGTTGTTTCCATCTCCTTACTATTGTGAACAAAGCCATGATAAACATGGGTGTGCATATATATCTGCTTGAATGTCAGTTATGGTTTCTTTGGAGTATATTCCCAGTAGTGGAATTGCTGGGTCAAATGGTATCTCTATTTGCAACTTTTTGAAAAAGCATCATACTGCCTTCCACAGGGGTTGCACCATTTTACATTTCCACCAACAGTGAATAAGGCTTCCAGTTTCTCCACAACCTCGCCAGCATTTGTTGCTTGCTGTTCTGTTAAATTTTACTATTTTTACTGGGGTGACATGAATCTCATAGTTGTTTTGATTTGCATCTCTCTTAGAGCTAGGGATTTTGAACATTTCTTTGTGAGCTTGTTGGCCATCTGAATGTCTTCTATGGTGAAGTGTCTGTTCATGTTCTGTGCCCATTTTTCAATTGGATTGTTTATCTTGTTGTGGTCCTCAAGTATTTTATAAATTCTATATATAAGTCCCTTGTCTGACATGTCATTACCAAATACTTTTCCCCAGTCTGTGGCTTCCCTTTTTACCCTGTTGGAGAAGTTTTTGGATGTGCCTAGGGATTTGATTCTTAGAAGGTCCCATTTATCTATTTTATCTTCTCCTGATTGTAGATCTTCCTCTGATTTTGATGCTACATGTTTTTTCATAGAGCCCAGCTTTTTAGAGCTCAGTGTACAGCTTGAATAGAAATGGATAAATAGTAAAGCACTGATACATACCTTTCCTGATTTTAAACCATGCCGTTTTCCCTGGCTCTGTTTGAACATAAGCTGCTTGGTCTAGATATGGGTTTCCTTTTTTCCCCTTTTCTTTTCTTGTGTGTACTGTCGAGTTGGGTCTGACTGACACAGGTGGAGATTGTCCCTCCTTCTCCAGCGGAGCGTCTGGTGGATTCGAACTGTGTACCTTTGTGATTACAGTGCAGCTTCTTGGCTACTAGGCTACCAGAGCTCCCTTAGAAATAGATTTCTTATGAGCATAATTAAGTGTTTTGAGATTTTCATTCTTCTCAATGTTAATCATAGTTTGTTATGAGCTACAAAATCAAAATGCCTTTGCATAGTCAATAAAATACAAATAGACATTCTTCTGATATTCTCTGCTTTGTACCAAGTTCCATCTAACATCAACAGTGATACCCCTGGTGTCCTGACTTCTTCTAAACCAAGCTTGAACTTATGGTAGTTCTCTTATCAATGTACTATTCTAGCTGTTTTTAAATGATATTCAGAGTATTTTGTTTGCATATTATGATATTGTTTGATAATTTCCTTGTTACATTCAATCACCTTTTTTGGGAATGAGAACAAACACAGATCTTTTTCAGTCAGGTGGTCAGATAGCTGTCTTCCAAATTTTCAGGCAAAAGATGGTGAGCACATATAAGACTGTATCTGCTGAAACATGTCAAATAGTGTCACATCTATTCTTGGGGCCTTATTTTTTGACAATGCCTTCACATAAGCTTGAGTGTCTTCCTTCATTACCACTGACTCCTTATGATGTTCTATATCCTGAAATATTTCCATGTTGACCAATTAATTTTTGTAGTGAGTTCATGCATTCTCTCCATCTTCATTTGATGCTTTCTGATCATTCAGGATTTTGCCCTAGTATTTCTCAGTATTACAACTTAAGGATTGATTTTCTTTTAACTTGAGAAATGCTGAGTGAGTTCTTCCCTTTTTATTTTCAAGTCAGGTATTTGCACATATTGTTATAAAAATGCTTTTTCTTCTCAAGTTGCTTTGTTAATATTCTGTTCATCTTTTGTACTTCAGCATCTCTTCTCTTTGTTTTGGCTTCTTGAAGTTCTAGTATAATTTTCAGAATCTTTAGGTATCCATTTCGATCTTTTCTTTCTCCTCTGATTTTGTATTGAACTTTTTTCTCTCCATGGATTATATCCTTGATGTCATTTCACTGCTCAACAGTTCTTTGATTAGTAGTGCTTAAGAGGATTTTTAAATTCAGGTGAGATAGATTCAAGTTTGTATAAAAGGAATCCCTGGAGTATTACAACTCTTTTTTTAATAGTAGGAGTAATTTAACATAAAGCATGCTACTTGATCTAATTATATATGTCTTATTAATTTGAAATTAATTGTATGTCATAATTTACAAAAACATTTCATTATATGTAAATAAAATGTTATTGGCTAAGCTTGAGAATATCAAAATGCAATTTATATTGCACCTTCCAGTGTTCATTTAAAAATTATGAGGGTTATGACATGAAATCTATTAGTTTAAAATATTTTGCCTGTTCTTACCATGTTTGCCAAGTATATGATTACATAGTATCACCATATCTTTTAAATGAAAACATTTGAAAAACATTTGTCATGTTTATATACCTTTATTTTATAGAAAGAAGTACATGATTTGGAAATACAATTGAATACTTTTGCGACAAGTGAAAAACATTATATAAAGCAGGTTAAAGATCTCAACACTGAACTTGAAAATGAGAAGTATGTTTTTCATTTATATATGAATTATTTATTACATTCTTAAGCTTTTTGATAGTAAATAACACATTGTAAGTTGTGCTTAATGTTTATTTGATTTGACTTAAGATGGTATTTTATTATTTTTTTTTAAATTTTATTATTATTAATTTTAATGAAAATTTACAGACTTTGGATTTCCATTCATTCATTGTTGCACTTTTCTCTCTGCCCATCCCTCTCCTCCAGTTTGTTCTTCTCTTTGAAAAGTTAAAGAAAAATTCTTTCATTGTTATATAATCCCTCCCCCTAAGTCCACTCCATTATTCAGCCTTCGCTCTGGACTCCTGTCAGGACACTAATACCTAATATGTATACCTTTTAAACAGTTCTCTCACTCATCTGTTTCAATGCAGTATACAAAATTTATCCCATCTTTCTCAGTCTCCCCCCACTCCCTATGTCGGTTCTCTTTTGGAACAGTGGCATTATGCTATATTTGTCTTTTGTGACTGAGATATTTCACCCAGAATAATGTCCTTAGGGTCACCCATTTTGTGTAATATTTCATGAGTTCCTTGTTTTTCAATGCCGCATAATATTCCCGTGTGAATATACCACAGCTTCTCTATCCATTTGTTTGTTGATGGGCACTTGGGTTGTTTCCATCTCTTTGTTATTGTGAACAAAGCAGCAATAAACATGGGTGTGCAGATATCTGTTTGGGTGGCAGTAATGGATATTTTATTCTTAAAGACAAATAATTTATCATTTAAAGAGTACATCTCATTTAAACAGTGCATCTAAAAGTTGAGAACTGCTTTAAATGGCCAATATATTATTTTTCTTGGAGATAATTATTTTCCAATAAAAAAAATAATAATTTGCTGTTATAACTAATGATTTTGGTTGTTCTGCTAAGTTACTTCATGTGTGTTGCGTTGTGTACCAACCCATAGGTGACTCTCCATATGGTTTTCAGAGGCAGTTAATTGCATAGGAATAGATTGCCCATCCTTCTCCCATGGAGCAACTAGTGGCCTCAGACCATGTACCTTTAGGATTGCAGCACAGCTGCTTGTCACTGTGCAACCAGAGCTCCCTGTTTTATACATCTTGGTTGTTGTTATGTGCTGCCGAATCAGAAACGATGCATAGATGATCCTCCAGTGGTTTTTTTAGAAGCAATAAATTGCTTCAGGGGAGATTCCCCATCCTTCTCTAATGTAGTGGGTGACTTTGGGATTGCAGTACATCTTCTTACCAGTAGGCCACTTGAGCTTTCAAGTCTTTATCTACTAATCAAAATAATTTTCAGGGAGTAGGTGAATTAATATGAATGGACTTATTGATTGAATGTACTTTTCCATAAATTTACGGTATTGTTGGCATATTGCTTTTCACCCTTCTATTGTGTAATGAAAAACTTTATCTTTTTTTTTTGAGAAAATTTCCATTTCGGTAAGTAGGAAGAGGTAATAGGTACTTTTGAAAAGACTCCAATGAGACAGCCATTCCTTTGCCTGTTGACTAAAACAATAGCAAGTGACAATGTCTCTTTCATTGTGAAGAATCTAGGACCTCAATAAAAGCAAGTTAAGTATTGTGAACAAAGATGAAACCTAGTTTCACTTATTTTTCACTAACAACCTAAATTTTAAAAAAAGACAAATTTAAAGAATTTATGAAATAAAAGAGTTGAGGTCAGAATGCAAAAAAAAAAAAAAAGAATAGTTCATTCCTCCTGTACTTCTTTAATCAAATGGTCAGAACTTTGGAACTATTTATAAGAGATAATCTGTTGGATTATCATTATATGTTGGAATATCATTGATTTCACATGCAAGCAAGATTCTACTGAAGATTATCCAAAAACAAATGGAACAGCACATCAGCAGAGAACTGCCAGAAGAAGTCCGGGCTGGGTTTAGAAGGGGTCGTGGTACTAGGGATATTGTAGATGGATCTTAGCTGAAAACAGGGAATACCAGAAGAATGTCTATCTGTATTTCATTGATTATGCAAAGGTGTTTGATTGTGTGGATCATGACACACTGTGGCTGACTCTGAGAAGAATGGGAATCCCAGAACACTTGATCATTCTAATGCGAAACCTATACTTAGACCAAGAGGCAGTCATCAGAATGGAGCAAGGCAACACGACATGGTTCAAAATTGGGAAAGGTGTGCACCAGGGATGTGTCCTATCTCCATACCTTTTTAACCTGTATGCAGAGCAGATTATCTGAGAGGCTGGGCTCTATGAGGAGAAGTGTAGAGTCAGGATTGGTGGAAGATCTATCAACAATCTGTGTTGTGCAGATGACACAACCCTGCTTGCTGAAACTGAGGAGGACCTGAAACGCTTGCTGCAGAGGATCAAGGACTGCAGCCTTCAGTATGGATTGAGGCTCAATGTCAAGATGACAAAGATTCTCAGCACTGGACCAATTGGCACAATCAGGATGGATGGTGAAGAGATTGAGATTCTCAACAACTTTAGTCTGCTTGGCTCTACGGTCAACACTCTTGGCACCAGTAGCCAGAAAATAAAAAAAATGTATTGATATGGGAAAGTCTGCTATTAGGGACCTCTCCAAAGTACTGAAGAACAATGGTGTCACTCTGGAGACTAAGGTGTGTCTGATACAGGCCATGGTCTTTGCAATCACTTGTTATGCATCAGAGAGTTGGACAATGAATAGGAAGGACAGAAGGAGAATTGATGCCCTTGAGCTGTGGTTCTGGAGAAGAGTATTGAATGTACCATGGACTGCCAAGAAAACAAACAGATTTATTCTAGAGAAGGTTAAACCAAGCTGCTCCTTGGAGGCAAGTATTCTGAGGCTTTGTCTGATATGCTTTGGACATGTTGTAAGGAGAGACAGGTCCTTGGAAAGGGGCATCATGCTTGGGAGGGTGGAGGGAGGCCACAAGAGGGGAAGACCCTCTATGAGGTGGATTGATTCAGTGACTGGGGTAGTCAGGATGGGTGTGTTAGAGGTAGTGCAGTTGGCACGGGGTAGAGCAGAGTTTAGGGCTGTTGTGCATAGGGTAGCTATGAGTCGCAAGTGACTCGGTGGCACATAACAACAACAACAACAACAATCTGTTGGAGAGAAAAAAATGATATAAATAAAAGAATGTAATCTTAAAAATTTTGGAAAAAGTATGGTTGTTGAGGGTATGAAGATGTACAAGAAAATAGACAATCTAGTATTTTAGAATGAGATATTTCAAGTATGTGTACAATGGAATGATGAATCAGCATATGTTTTTTTCCCAGCCTTAGAACATACCTAATGACCACTTTTGTTTTAGCTATACCTTCATGTGTTTTTATCATTTCCCCTCAGCTTTAAATTTGAAAAGTCATTTACTAGGATTATGTGCTTATTTTGTGTGACTTGTTTTTAAAAATACAGGCTAAAGAATTCTCAACTAACTGCAAGTTGTGATAAGCTTTCATTGGAGAACAAAGAGCTAACACAAGAAACAAGTGATGTGACCCTACAACTCAAAAAACTGCAAGAAGATATTAATGTAAGTTGAGAAAGAAAGTGCCAGTAACTTAGCTTTCTGTAAAGTTAGAAAGTAAGATCTTTTTAGCTTTGAAGATCTGATTTGTCATAGAGGGGATACTTTATTTTAACAGAAACTACACAATTACTTTAAATGGTAATAATGGATTACAGAACATAGGCATACATTATTTTAAGTTAATTTTTTTCTCTTTTTTTCCTTTTTTTATTGGGAAAAACATATTGGGGGTACAAGGAGGTAAGGGTTGGGGGCAGAAGGGTGAGGATGGGCCAGGATACAGTTGCAGAGCTGCACAGTTTGGTCGGTAGGGGGAGCAGGTAAAGGAAATGATGAGGGTCCAGTGGGGACCAGATGCTACAGAGGAATGACAAGCATTTTCCAATGGTAATTAAACCAACTGTCTTATTGATTTGGGAATTGGATGCCGACTCTCTGGCTTCTTCATGCTGAACAGGGGCGTAGATGTAAAGGGGGAAATGGAGGATGCTTTATCACCTTACTGGTGGTCTTGTGTTAAAGCTGCTTGCCTTCTTGCTCTGTTAGAAGAGATTTTCCTGTCATTTGCTCCCCTCTGGACTGCAAAGTGTTTTCCCAGGTGGGTCCAGTGGAGATGGCTGGTTGAACCCAGAGGCTCCATCCTCTTTTGCTTCCTTAACTGTCAGTCGTATTTCCTTTGTCACTGGCACTGGGTTCAGGGTCAATTCTGGAGTAAAACTCAGTGTTAAGTTTACCTATAGGAAAGGGAGCAAACCCATTTCTCCTTAGGAATCCTTGAATTCCTGTTGTTGAGCCTCAATCTTCACTGAGGGCCAGTCATCAACTGTTTAAGTGTTCAATTTTCAATAAGCCAAAGTCTGTGGAAAGCCATAATGGCCCTCCTTTAAGTGGTTCGCTGCTCCCACAGCTCACCACGCTGTCTCTGCCTCTGCCGCCATCTTGGATCTCCCCGATAGGTTAATTTTTATAAAGAAATTTTTCAACAGTTATTTATTGATGTTATCATATAAAGACACTGTTAAGTACATAATGATGAATCCCTTCCTCTTTAGTAATTTGCGATTTACTAGGAAGAGTAATAAATAATCAAATAAGGTAAACAAAATTTGATATGTTTTATGTTACTAGAGTTCACAAGGTCATTTTCGTCTGATAAGGCTTAAGGAAGAATATAACATTGTTTTTGGTCTTAATAGATGAATTAATAAATTAATAGGTAACAATGGATCAAAAACTTTCTTGAAGCCCAACAGTATGAAAATGGGATACAAGGTTAAAAGTATCGCTGGGAAACAGCAAGTAAGACTTGTTTGAGTCCAGTGGAAGTTTATAAGTTAACTAGCACATTCTCTTGTGTGCAATTAAATGGATTTCATGCTGACAGTTACTTGCTTTAAAAATTAGTTTCACTTTTATTTTGAGCAAACAATATAATCAATATAAATAACATTGATTATTTCTTTAGAATAACAAAAAGCAAGAAGAAAAGATGTTGAAACAAATAGAAAATTTGGAAGAAACAGAAATACGATTAAGGCAAGATTAATGAGAGTTGGTTTTAAAAAATTTATTGCTTTTTTCTATTGATTTAAATTAAATTTAAGTCTAATATAGTATAAAGTAAAAACATTAGATTTAAATTATGCTTTTGGAATTATGCTTAAAAATATATCTATTGAATATTTAATATTGAAACAATAGAAATTATTAGGCATAAAATATTGTAAAATTTTTAATTCTTTAATAGTACCAAGATAGTACAACACCTTTATTACACATAATTTAGAATACAAATGAAAGAAAATGTATCACATATAATCACATCATCTATTTAATATTGGAATATTTATACTATTTTTAAAGGGAATATTTTATCTTTACTGTAACCCAGTGCTTAGCACATGATTTTTTAGTAGACTGACTCATAGTGACCCCATGAACAATAGATCTGAACCTTACCCTCTGGCACCATCTTTACCATCTCTGATATGCTTGAATTCACCAGTAAAGTTACTGTGTCAAGCCATTTTATTGAGAATATTTCTTTCTTTCTCTACCACTCAACATTTCCCAGAAAAATATATTTTTTTATTTGAAAAATATATTTTTAAAAAAGCATTTATTTGTTTACAAAGTTTGTGTATTTTGTGTTTCACCCTAGTTTTCATTCACGCTGTGTTTCACACAATAATTCTTTTTTTCAAGAACTAGTCCTTCTAAAAAAAAATAAGTCAGTTGGAGTTTCACCATCCAGATCTCTTATGGAAAACCCTGGTTGCACTTTCTCTAAGTCAGATTTGTTTATTTATTTGGAAGTCCATGGAGTATTCAGTACTCTGTTCCCAAACCACAATCTGTAGACATTGATTCTTCTGACATCCTTATTCATTATCCAGCCTACAAATGCATACAAAGCTATTGAACATACCATGGCTTAGATTAGACTCACCTTAGGCTTTTAAACAGACATTCTTGTTCTTTTTTTAAAAAAAAATTAAGTTTTTTAAATTATTGGGGTTTTTTTTTAGATTTCTTATGCATGTACCATCAAATCAGATCTGACTGGAACTAGAGGAGATTGTCCCTTCTTCTCCAGCAAAGCATCTGGTGAATTTGAACCACATACCTCTGGGATTGCAGTGCAGCTTACATTCTTGTTCTTTAGCACTTATAAAAGACCCTTGACAGCAGACTTTCCAAATGCAAATAAATATTTTGATTTCTTGATTTCTGTTATTATGGGTGTTGATTTACAATGCCACAGTTTTTTCTCCATCATGATATTGCCTGTCCAATAGAAGAGATTTTAGTTTCTTTGGTCTAGAGATATAATCCATTTTGAAAGCTATAGCCTTTGTTCTTCTTCAGCAAGTGCTTTAAGTCCTCTTTACAAGCAAGGTTATGTAATCTGCATAGTACAAATTGTTAATGAGTCATCCTCCAATCCTGATCAATATAGTCCAGTTTCTTGAATGAGTTGCTTAACCTAAAGATTGAATTGTGTTGTTATGTGATGTCAAGTCGACTAAGACTCATAGCAACCCTATGAACAATGGATTTGGACTCTGTGCCCCTGTCCTGTGCCATCCTCATCATTCCTGATAAACTTGAGTCCACTGCTGCAGGTCTTGTGTCAGTCCATCTTGTTGAGGATCTTCCTCTTTTTTTCTGACCCTCCATCTTTCCAAACATGATGCCCTTGTCAAAGGACTGGAGCTCCTATCAATATGCCCAAAGCATGTGAGATGAAGTTTCACTATTCTTACCACCAAGGAGCACCCTGGTTTCACTTGCTCCAAGATGTGTTCTTTTTTTGGCCATTCCTGGAATATCTGGCACCACAGCTCAAAAGTATCAATTCTTCTTCTGTCAGCTTTATTCATTGTCCAACTTTCAGATGCATAGAAAGTAATTGGAAAGATCATGACTTGAATTAGGTGCACCTTAGTCTTTTAAGTTGACATCTGTCCTATACAGATTGAGTAAGTATGGAGAAAAGATACAATCCTGACATACAGTTTTCCTTACCTTAAACTTTGCAGTGTTCCCTTGCTCTGCTCAAGTATTTCTTGGCTTTTGCATAGGTTTCACACACAAGCACTTAAGTGTTCAGGGATTCCTATTCTTAATTTATTCATCATTTATTATAATCCACACAGTCAGATACTCTTACATCACCAATAAAACACCAATAAACATCCTTCTGATATTCCCTGCTTTCAGCCAAGATTCATTTAACATCAGCAGTGATATTTCTTCTTCCACAGCCTCTTCTGAATTCAGCTTAAATTTTTTTGCATTTCTGTGTCAATGTACTCTTCCATCCATTTTCAATAATCTTCAGCAAGACTTTACTTGAATATTAGTAATATTGTTTGATAATTTCCATATTCTGTCAGAGCACCCCCTTTTTTTAAAAATGGGAACAGATATTGATACCTTCCAGTCAATTAGCCAGATAGCTGTCTTCCAAATTCTGGGCATAGACAAGTGAGCACGTCTAGGGCTGCATTTGTTTATTGAAACATGTCAATTGGTATTAACATCAATTCCAGGTAACGTACTTTTTTGCCAGTACTTTCAGTGAAGTTTGGACTTCTTTCTTCATTACCAGTGGTTCTTGATCATCTGTGTTTTTTTCTGAAATTTGGTGTAGATGATTTATTATCCAGGAAGAATGCAAAAGGTCATTACAAAGATGGAGGAGGAAGAAAAGACCAAGGTGAATGTTATATGAGACTCTGAATATTGCATTAGAGCACCAAGAAGCTATAGCAAAGGGGAGAAATCAAGAAATTAAGGAGCTGAACAGAAGATTTCAAAGGGCAGCGTGATAATACAAAGCTAAGTACTGTAATGTGCAAAGAGCTGGAGTCATAAAATCAAAAGGCCTGAACTCGCTTGATATTTCTTAAGTTGAAAGAACTGAAGAACAAATTCAAGCCCCAAGTTGCAATACTGAAGGATGGTTTGGGTGGAATATTAAATGATCCAGGAAGCATTAAAAGGATATGCAAGGAGTATTCAAAGTCACTGTACCAAAAAGAATTGGCTGACACAGAAGAATTTCATGAAATAGCATATGATCAATAGGCAATAGTGTTGAAGGAGTAAGTTCAACCTGCTCTGAAGGAATAGGTAAAAAACAAGGTCCCAGGAATTGATGACACATTAATTGACATATTTCAACAAACACATGCTGCCCTGGATGGGCTAACCGAGTTGTGCCAGGAAATCTGGAAGAAAACTACCTGGCCAAATGACTAGAAGAGATCCATATTTATTACTTTCCCTAAAAATGGTGATCTGACAGAATGGAAATTATCAAACAATATCATTAATATCACATACAAGCAAAATCCTGCTGAAGATTATCCGAAACCGACTTTGAACAGTACATTAATAGAGAATCACCAGAAATACAAGCTTGTTTTAGAAGAGGCTGTGGTACTAGATACATTATCACCGGTGACAGATGGATATTGGCTGAAAACAAAGAGTCCAGAGGAGCATCTGTGTGTGCTTCATTCACTATGCAAAGGTGTTTGACTGTGTAGATCACAACAAACTGTGGCTAACCTTGAGAAGAATGAGAATCTCAGAACACTTGATTGTGCTCACACGAAAACTATACTTGGTCCAGGAGGCAGTTGTCAGAACAGAACAAGGTTCAAAATAAGGAAAGGAGTGTGTCAGGGATATGTCCTATATCCATACCTTTTAAGTTTTTATGCTGAACTGATCATTAGAGAGGCCAGGCTTTATGAGGGGGAGTGTGGAGTCGTCAACAACCTGCAGATGACACCACTTTGCTACCTAAAACTGCAGAGGACCTGAAGCAGTTGCTGCAGAAGATCAAGGACTGTAGTCTTCAATATGATTTAAAGCTAAACATCAGGAAGACAAAGATTCTCACTACAGGGCCAACTGAAAATTACACAATGGATGGAGAAGAAATTGAGGTTAACGGTTTCAGTTTGGTCAGCTACACAATCAACACTCTTCGCACCAGCTGTCAGAAAATCAAAAGACAAATTTCATTGGGGAAGTCTGTTGTCAAGGAACTCTCCAGAGTGCTGAGGAGCAATGATGTCACTCTAGAGACTAAGGTGCGCCTGTCCAGGCCATGGTCTTCACAGTTACATACTGTGCATCAGAGAACTGGACAGTGACTAAGGATGACAGAAGAAGAATTGATGCCTTTGAGTTGTGGTGCTGGAGAAGAGTATTGAACATACCACAGACCACTGGGAGAACAAATAGGTCTGTCTTTGGAGAGGGTGAAATCAAGTTTCTCCTTGGAGGTAAAGATTTTGAAGCCTCATCTCACATACTTTGGACACATGACCAGGAGAGACCAGTCCTTTGAGAAGGACATCATGCTTTGAAAGGTGTAGGGACAAAGGAAGAGAGGAAGACCCCAGATGAGATGGATTGACATAATAATGGAGCAATGGATTTAGGTATGTCGGAGTCAGTAAGACTGGTTCAAGATAGGACAGGGTTCAGAGCTTTTGTACATAGGGTCACTAAGAATTGCAGGTGACTTGTTGGCACTTAACAAAAATAACAACAACAATAATAACAACAACTCTGTATTGCTTTCATCTTTTGATGCTTCCAACATCATTCAAGATTTTGCCTATAGAATGTGTTGCAATTCGAAGCTTGAATTTGTTTTTCAGATCTTTTAGCCTGCTAAATGCTGAGTGTGTTCTACCCTTTTGGTTTTGTAACTCCAGCTCTTTGCACATACTTTGCTTTATCTTCTTGAGCAGCATAGTGCATAACAAGTGCTTTAAAAAGTATTCATTGAGTTTGGAGATAAAAAGGGAAAAAAATAACATTTGGAGGGGACTGCTGTATTTAAAAGAATTTAAATTATCCAGAAACAACTGGAACAGTACATTGACAGAGAACATCCAGAAATACAATCTGGATTTAGAAGCGGTCATGATACTAGAGACATTATCACCAATGTCAGATAGATCTTGGCAGAGAGCAAAGATCATCAAAGGGATATCAGTATTTCATTGACTGATAAAAAAGCATTTGACTGTGTAGTTCACAACACATTGTGGTTAATTTTGATGAGAATGAGAACATTTGATTGTGCTTATGGGAAACCTATACTTGGACCAAGAAGCAGTCCTCAGAACAAAGCAGGGAAACACCGCATGGTTCAAAATCAGGAAGGGAGTGCCTCAGGGATGCATCCTACCTCCATACCTTTTTAATATATATGCTGAATAGATAATTTGGGAGGTGGGTTTTATTAGGAAGAATATGGCAGCAGGACTGTAGGAAGATTCATCAACACCTTACATTGTGCAGATGACACAACGTTGCTTGCTTAAACTGAGGAAGACCTGAATCACTTGCTGTAGAAGGTCAAGGACTGTAGTCTTCAATATGGATTGAAGCTTAACATCAAAAGACAAAGATTCTCACCACTAGGCCGATTGGAACACCATGATGGATAGAGAAGAGATTGAGGTTATTTACAGTTACATCTTGAGACTAGCAGTAAGGGAAATCAAAAGGCAAATTGCATGAGGTAAATCTGCTGTCAGGGACATTTCCAGAGTAGTGAGAAGCGATGATATCAGTTTAGAGACTAAGGTGCACCTGATCCGGTCCACGGTCGTCGCAAATACTTGCTATGCATCAGAGAGCTGGACAGTGACTAAGGATGACAAAATAAGAATTTATGACTTTGAGTTGTGGTGCTGGAGAAGAGTCTTGAATATAACGTCGACTGCCAAGAAAAGAAATAGGTTGGTCTTACCAAGGGTAAAACCAAATTTCTCCTTGGAGGCTAGGATTTTGAAGCTCTGTCTCATATACTTTGAGCATGTGGCCAGGAGCGACCTATTCTTGGGGAAGGACATCTTTCTCAGAGGGGTGGAGAGACAGTGCAGGAGAGGAAGACTCCAAATAAGGTTGATTTTTACAGTAACTAGGGCAATGGAGGTAGGTGTATCAAAGTCAGTGAGATTGGCTCAGGAGAGGGCAGGCCTCAGAGCCATTGTACACAGGATCACTATGAGTTGCAGGCAGCTTGATGGCACATAACAACAACAACATATCATTTGGACAGTATTTTTTACATCTTTTTGTATTAACACTAAAGATAAACATATTTAAGAACAGTGAGAATATATTGATTGGAAATTTATTGTCCTGTTTAAGAGTAAATTCCCTGGTTTTGGATCCAAAAGACCAGTTATTTATTCCATGTGAGTAAACACTATTCATGCTTATGCTTTATACTGAACAACATAATAGTGGTAACAGTGGAAGTTACAATTAGAAAAAGAACTATAAAATCTTTCTGAGATAAAGCAACTTTATTTTTCTTCTATAACAGACAGATATTTTTAATTAAAATATTTTGAAAGGCTCATATATACATATGGTATAGAATTTAAAAGACAAAGGAACATACAATAAAAGAAAATATATTTCTTAATTTTAAATCTTACTATTCTGTTTCAATTTTTAGAAGTATTAATATTACTTGTGTATGTTCCCAAGATAGTTTTTATGTAAGCAAGGATATTTGTGTATGCACAGGGTTCAGATCTTTTGTTCATAGGGTCATTCTGAGCCATATTTGACTTGATGGCACTGACTTAATATATTTTTCATGTAATCACTTGTTATATTTACTTTCTTATTTTTATATAAATTATAATATGATGATTAGCTTATGATTTAGTAAGTGAAACATTAAAATGAAACATTGTCTCAAATAGAAGGTAAGTCTTTCTAGAAGTTGTGTAAAGAAAAATTACTATAATGATAAAAAATTAATTTCAAAATAATTGTATAAGTAATAGTAAAAATACATAGAAAATGTACCATTTTCTAATATGCATAAAAATTAGCAAAGAAATATAGAACAAAATAGAAATACATTAATAATATCAATAATTTCAGAAATTCTCAAATAAGTTAGAATGAAATGTAATTTTTACTAAAATGTTACTCTTTCCCATTCCTCTTAGGGAAGAATTAGAGTCTGTAAGAGAAGAGCTCAAAAAGAAAAGAGATGAAGTTAAATGTAAATTGGACAAGAGTGAAGAAAATGTATGATATACTTATAAAAGATCATACTGTAAAATTATGTCTAAGTTGTAGGAGACATGGTTAGCCTCCCCTAGACTATCCAGCCAGATCAGGATTACTGTTGAGTTCACAGCAAAAATAGTTCTTAAAGGGAAGGATGCTTGCTAAACCAAAACTTACTCCTTTTGTTTGAATGCTGTTGGAGAGACTATACAAAGGGACATCGGATCCAAATTTAAGTCACACCAAGCTTCCTGGAAAAAGGTGCTTTTAGTTTAAAACTTTAGATTGATAGGAATTAATGAAAGACATGAGTGTGGACACAAAAGAAGCAAGGACAAGAAGAATATTCTTTTGTAAATTTTGAGAATATGAAGAAACATGAGTGAGCATAGTGTATTTGAGTTTATCTTATAGAAAAGATGAAATTTAAATAGTGATGGTAGTAGAGTGTAGAGACATGAGAATGGAGATGTAATAAGAGACTGTGTAAGTTCCTTTTAGGAGTTAAAAGTTACTGAAGAATTTTAATCTAAAGCATGTAGTTAGTGTACTACAAAATTTGTAAGACTACAAGAAAAGCCCAGGGATAGGATGAGTTACCATTTTTAGAGCTTTTGGTGGACCCAAGAACATTTTAGACTATTTGTTTTATACTTGGAAATTATTGTTATCGTCATTTTAGAAAATAGGGACCACAAAAGGTTAAAAACAAAAAGGTTAATGAGATTACATGGAAATCCAAGTTCTCAGTTAACTTTGGTTAAAATCTCAGGAAAAGAAGGAAAAAATAATTAAAAAAAGAAGTGTAGAGTTGTCTTCTACATTATTGGCACTAGACCGCATTTTCTTTCTCCTCCATAGCTATTTTTTATTTCACTTTCATATTTATTAGTTTAATTCAGTGTAAAAAATGAATTTATTAAAGGGCTTATTACTTGGTATGCTTAGAATTTGTATTAGAGACTGTTTCATATAAACTAAGCTTAAGTGGTTTGCTTTAGAGAAAAACAAATTTGATGTTTAATGTAAATTAAAAGTTTTATATTAATAATTTAAAGCATGATTTGCTTTATCAGTATAGAATATGTTAATAATTAGAGAAAGAAATATTTTGTTAGCATTGTGAACTTCCCATGATTAGATTTTAAATTACCTCTTTAGGTGTTTCTCAGAAATAAACTGTAATGTAAATAATTATAAGACATTTTGTCTGATACCTTAGTTCATATATTTATTATTTCATCTCTAAAATGGAAATAGCAATACCTATGCTTTATGTTCCATTGAGTTATTACAAGGTTCAAATTAACAAGATTTTTTTGAAAGACATATTTAAGAGATTATAAACATGACAGTTTAAAAAATCCAAGATAACTGGGAAAGCTGATAAGTGATTCTAAGCTAAAATAGAAGAGATGAGTACTAAATTGGAAACATTAACAGAAAAACTTTTTAGAAAGATACTGACTTTTGAGAGCTGATAAATACTTTGTAGAACTATAAGGGTAAGTTTTATAATTCCATTTTAAAATACTTCAGGCGTCGAGGACTCTCCTTCATAGGGTAGCTATGAGTCACCTGCGACTCAATGGCACTTAACAACAACAACAACAAATACTTCAAAATGGACTTCTGATGGCCTGGTAAAGAGTTGCACTGCCAACCCAAAGGCAAACAGTTCTATACACCAGCTGTTCTGTGGGAGAAAGGAGGACAGTCTCTTCCCATGTGATTTACAGCCTCTGAAAACTTGCCACAGGTTCCAGCTCAACAAAATGAACAGCAAATACTACTAAAAGATACTCAGAAGAAAAATAGAATATTTGTTAATATTTTTAATCTGATGTCAATAATCTTTTTTTAGGCTCGAAACATTGAGTGTGAAGTTATTAAAAAAGATAAACAAATGAAGATATTAGAAAACAAGGTATCAAATTATGTTAATTTTTTGGCGATAGAGGCTTTGTAACTATCATCTATCTATCTATCTATCTATCTATCTATCTATCTATCTATCTATCTATCTATCTATTATTTAAGCTAAACAGCATTATCTTGTATAAGTAATCTCATTACTCTTTGAAGACTATAAGGATTTAAAAAATTTTTAGAAAATCGAGGTTTCCTTTCCTACATAAAAATTCTTGTGAACAAAATCTTCCTTTATGTATATGAGTTTTACCTAAAAATTAATTGTGAGTTTAAAATACTTTAAAAATCTTCTAGATATTCCACCAAATATATTTCAAATTTCTGTTAGCTTTTAAAGGGACAGAAATGCCTTTTTTTAAAAAAAAAAGTGATAACATCTTAACCCAAATGTGAAGATTATGAAAATTTAAAAGGAATGAAAACTCATTTTCCAACAGCTTATTCAGAAAGGGGGGGGAAAGGGGGGTTTGTGCGGGGAGAAGTGGTGCAAGTGAATGAATGGAATCCCAAAATCTCTGTAGATGTTCATTGAAATGAAAAATAAATAACCTAAATTTAAAAAAAAAAAAGAAAGAGGGGAGAATGGGATGGCACACTTTGATGGAGCAATCAAAATGATATCTAAAGTTTTAATAATTATGTCATTATAATTTTAGAATAAATATACAAAATTTTTACTTATACCAGTTGTCATTCTATAAAAAGAATTTTCTTGTAAGTACTGTGACAAAAGAATATTTTAAGTTAAGGTGCCCATTTGAAATTTTTTTTTACATAAAGATAGCATGAATTCAATCTCTAAAATATGTAAAATTAGCTTGTGGTTATTTGTTCCCCAAGCATACTGTCAAAGTTAAGACATATGTTTCCTTTTGTGTGACATAGACATTTTTTGTTTAGTCTTTTACTAAGTATATGGTCCTTTGTGTTCCTGTCTTTATACAGGATTATTTTACTTGACTTTGTATCTTTTAGTGTGCCCCCCAATTTTATCTTGTTTGGTTATGTTCTTTCTTGCTCTGGTTCTATTCAGCAGATACTTTGATGGCAAACGCTCGTGCTACCCTTAAACTGATGGCTATTGCTTTTGAATTTTCTTTTTCTAAACGTCTGTAAATTCCTTACTTTCTGTTCAAAGAATCTACTTAGCCTTTCTGCTAAAACGAAAGTATCTTGGAATTTTTTTTAAAAATAAAATTGTAAACAAATACTTTTACCTGCTGATAATATTTATGCCAGTTATATTGGTATGAAAATTAGTTATAGGTTGTTTAATTTTCCTGCTTAGTTTTTTAAATTTTCTCAAATAGGGATGGAAAATATTAAAATTTATACTAAACAAGTTTCTGATAAACAACTTGTGCTATGTATTATTCAGTTTCAGAATATCAGAAATGACTGCACATGAGCGTTCCAAGAAGAATGTTTAGTAGCGTATATTGTGCTAATGAAAGAAATGTAACCTTTTTTTATTGACGTTTTTTGTCTGATTTCATGGTAGTTAGAACAATTTACCTATCACCACCATATTCTTGTGTCTTTTTAGGACACATTATAAATGTATTATTTTTATGATATGGCAAACATTACTTAGATTAATACCTCTTATAGGCAAGGATAGCAATGCTTCATCGTACATGTTTTGGGCATGTTGTTAGGAGGGGCTATTCCTTAGGAAGGGCTTCGTATTTGGAAAAGTGGAAGGTCACTGAAATAGAGGAAGACTGTCAATGAGAGAGATCAATGCATTGACTGTAGCAATGGGCTTAAGTACGTCAGAGATGATGAGGATGCCACAGGATAGGACAGGGTTTAGATGTTTGTTGTTCATGGGGTCTCTAGGAGTCATACTTACCTTGACATAACCTAACAACAACAACAATGCACTTTTGCATAAATCTAGGTAGTGTAATATAGTCCCTTGAAGTGAGAGAGAAAATAGTATTTTAGCTGATATTTAAATAAAAATTGGAATGTCGTTAGGGGAGGATATAGTGTAATATAATTATTCCTCTCCAAATTAAAATATGTAAAAGAGATCACAGAAATGAGAAGTGAAGAAGAATGGGTAATTAATATCATTCAAAGTATTGTATAAGGTTGACCAAAAAGCATAAATGTTTAGAATTTAAAATATATGATCTCTGAAAAAAATATATATAATCTCTGTTAAAGCTTACTTTTCATGTACTTTTACATTAATGGAATTATTTTATAGCATTAATTTTTTTTCCAATTCAACACATTTCCCCCCTCCCATTGATTCAGTGTTGCACTTTTCTCCCCTCCCAACCCTCTCCCCCAGTACACTACCCTCTTGGAAAAGTAAAATTCTTTCATTGTTTTACAGTCCCTCCCCCCAGGTCCACTCCACTATATAGCCTTCACTCTGGACTCCTGTCATGACAAAAATCCCTAATAATTTTCCCTGTTAAACAGTTTTCTCCCTCATCTGTTTCAATGCAGTATACATTATTGAACCCATCCTTCTCATTCTCCTCCCAGGCCCGAGGTCAGTCCTCCCAAGCCCAAGGTTAGTCCTGCTTTACAACAGTGGCACCATGCAGTATTTGTCCTTTTGTGACTGAGATACTTCACTCAGCATAATGTCCTCCAGGATCAACCATTCTGAATAATATTGCATGAATTCCTTGTTTTTCAATGCAGCATAGTATTCCATTGTGTGAATATACTACAGCTTCTCTAACCATTCATTTGTTGATGGGAACTTAGGTTGTTTCCAACTTCTTGTGTTGCATTAATTTTGAAACATTTTTTCTGTTACTTTGTATATTTCCATTAGTGTGAAATGAATTATTTTGATTGAACTGCTTAATAAAATAACTGTAATTATAGTAATTATATTTATAATTATATACACACATTTATATAATTATATATGTATATAAGATACACACACACATATATATATATATGTTTTATTATAGTGTAACAACTTAAGGAAGCAAATTGAAAATAAAAACAAGCATGTTGAAGAACTCCAGCAGGAGGTATGAACTGTTTAAATACTCTCAAAATCAAGTACTATATTTTCACTACAGTTTTAGACAATACTTTATAAATAATTTAGTCACTATTTTAAATCTAAATCAGTTCTAGAGTAGAGTGTCTTTGGTGTTAAATATAACTCTTTATTTTTAATTTTAACAGAATAAAACCTTAAAAAGAAAGAGTACAGCAGAAAGCAAGCAACTGAATGTTTATGAGATAAAGGTATTTTTACACCTTAATTTTCAAAATATGAGTAAATAGCTGAGAATTCATAAATTCTTTATAATTTATACTATCACAGTAATTTCAAAGATTGTTATCTTTTTAAATTGTGTAAAAAGTCATTTTATTGCTATAGAGTATACTCATCTGTGCTTGATCTGAACAATTTGAAGATAAATGTGTTTTTTGAGTGTATTCATAGCTCTTACCCACAAACTGAAAAGTGAAATTGAGTAGGTCTGTAGTGAAGACTGAGAATATATGATTTTTTAAAAGTTCATTGTATGTTTATCTTTCTGTAAAAGAATTGGAGTATCATTGGTGCTGTAGAAAAATAAAAATTCCCAAGCTGTAGTTTAATAATGTTAGATCTATACTTTGCCATTTTATTCCAGTTCTTTGAACAGTGACTTCCATGTAGCATGTGCTCAATAAGTAGTTTCTCAATTATGAGTGGAAAGTTGTAGTTATCAGTGTAGCAATGTATTGATTTATTGTGGTAAACTAAATATATGTGTTCATGTGTGTATATATGTGTGTGTGTATGTATGTGTGTGTATATCATCTATCTATCATCTCTCTCTATCTCTATCTATCATCTGTCGGCTTAGTGGTAAAGAGTTGCATTGCCAATCCAGTGGTGTGTGGTTGGAATTTACTAGCTGCCTGACAGGTGAAAGATGGTCAGTTACCTTCTGAGCAGTTTACTGCCCCTGAAAACCTGCTGGAGGGTCAGCCATGAGACAGTTCTAACTCAATGACACATAATGATCACAATAAATAGGTATGTGTGTGCACATGTGCACGCATGTGCATGCTGGTGTAGTCTGTATATAGTTGTGTTGCTGCAGTACCACTCAGGCAGTGGGAAACTGCTGGCAGATCCACAGGAGAAAGATGTGATTCTTTCTCTTGAAAACCCCGCTGAAGGATTAGCTTTAAATTAATTTCTACTCTGTAGCAAAATGTAGTCAGTATGTACTTTGGAACCTAAACTGACTCATAGCTGACCCTCTATTGGGTTTTCAAAGGCAGTATATGGTTCAGGAGAAGATAGCCCATTTTTCTTCAGTGGAGGGACTGATGGGCTTGAACTGAGTGCCTTTAGATTGGCAGTGCAAATCCTTATCATTAAGCTACCAGAGCTCCCAATGAGTAGTAAATGTATATGCTATATATTTTTAATATATAATGGTTTAACAATTCTATATTATGTTGTTTGTTGCTGTTATGTGCCATCAAGTCACCTGCAACTCACAACGATCCTGTGTACACAGCTCTGAACTCTGCCCTATCCTGAGCAAGTCTTACTGGCTCTGACACGCTTAATCCCATTACCCCAGTTATCATGTCCGTACATCTCATCCAGGGTCTTCCTCTCCTGCTCTGTTGCTACATCCTTCCAAGCATTATGTCCTTCTCCAAGAATTGATCCCTCCTGGCCCTGTCCCCAAAATATGTGAGACAGAGCTTCAAAATCCTTGTTTCCAAGGAGAAACTTGGTTTCACCCTCTCTCTTCTCCAGCACTACAACTCAAAGGCATCAATTCTTCTTCTGTCATCCTTAGTCATTGTCCAGATCTCTGATGCATAGTTTGTAACTGCGAAGACCATGGTCTGGATAAGGTGTACCTTTTTCTCTAAACATACATCATTGCTCCTCAGCACACAGGAGTAATGATTTTTTAAATCACTACCTAACTTGGGAGGAATTGGAGAGTATTATGCTAAGTGAAAGAACTCAGTCCCACAAGGACAAACACTGTATAAAATCACTGCTTGACTGCATGGACTCTTAACATTATTGTTAACTTTGAGAAGAATGGAAACAGCCCAAATGTTCAACCCCAATTGAATGAATTGAGAAACTATGGTACATTCACATGACGGAATCCCAGGACATAAATTGGTGCTCATGGAAAACCTGCACATAGACCAAAAAACAGTTATTTGATCAGAACAAGGGAAGATGATTTAAAACCAGGAGAGGTATGTGTCAGAGTTATATCCAGAGCGAAACATTTTTGTACGAGTCTTTGTGCTTCAGTTCCCTTTCTCTCAGGGTATATTCAAAACAGTGGAATAGCTGGGTTATGTGGAATTTCTATGTTCAACTTTCTGAGGAAACACCAAACTGCCTTACAGAATGGTTATACAATTTACATTCCCACCAAAAATGTATAAAGCTTCTATCTCACCACATCCTCTCCACCTGCCATCCTATTAAACTTTGTCACTGCTACTGGAGTGAGATGGTTTCTCATTGTGGTTTTGATTTGCATCTTCCTTATTGCCAGTGATTTTTGAGCATTTTTTCATGTGTCTGTTGGTCATCCAGATGTCTTCCTCTGTAAAAATTCTTACCATGTTCTTTTGTCCATTTTGCAATTGGGTTGTCAGTCTTTCTCTTGTGGAGAGAGGCCCTGTAGGATTCTGCAAATTTTTAATATGAGACCTTTGTCTGAAATGGTATTGACAAATGCTTTTTCCCAGTCAATAGGTTTTCTTTTCTTTCTGTTGGAGAATGTTTGTGATGTGCAAGGAATTTAATCTTTAGAAGGTCCCATTCATCAATTTTATTCTTTCCAGATTGTGCATTTCTGGCTGTATTTGTCAGTCTCTTTATACCATAGACTAGGCTGTCTAAGCTTGATCCCAGTTTGTCTCTGATGAACTTTATGGTTTTAGGCTTTCCTTCCAGGTCTCTGATCTACTTTGAGGTAATTTTTGTGTATAGTATGAGATGTGGATTCTGTTGCAGCTTTCTGCAACCATTTGTTGAAGAGGTCATCATTTCCCCATTTGATAGGTTTTATTTCCTTGTTATCAGTTGACCATAGATAGCTGAGTTCATTTCTGGGTTTTCAATTCTGTTTCATTGTACTATGTGCCTATCATTGTACCTGCATCATGCTGTTTTGGCTACTACCTCTGTGTAGTAGGTTTTGAGGTCAGGAAGTGCTATGCTCCCGGTTAATTTTTGTTTTTCAGAAGTGTTTTGATTATTCAGGATCTCTTGCTTCTCCAAATAAATTTGACAATTTCCATTTTGATCTCCTTGAAAACTGAATTTTGTGTCTGATTTGGGATTGTATTGAACATGTAGATTGCCTAGGTAGGCTTGTAATTTTCACAATATTGTCTTCCTATCCATGAACAGGACACATTTTCCCATTTATTTAGGTCTTTTTTTTTAATCTTACATAAATGTCCTGTAGTTTTCTTTGTATAGGTCTTTTGTGTCTCTCGTTAGGTTCACTCCCAAGTATCTCAGTTTGGGTTGGCTATTTTAAATGCTACTGCTTTCTTTGTTCCTTTCTCTGAGTTCTGTTTGGGTATTGACCTTATATCCTGCCACTCTACTAAATTGATCTACTAGCTCTAACACTTTTTTTGTTGATTCTCTGAGGTTTTCTGTGTACACTCTCATTACATCTGCATATAGTGATAGTTTAACCATCTCTTTGCAGATCTAGATTCCTTTCATTTCCTTCTCTTGTTGTATTTCCCTAGCAAGCACTTCCACTACAATATTGAATAGAAGTGGTGACAATGGGCATCCTTGTCTGGTTTCTGCTTGCCAGGAAAGTGCTTTTGCTCTTTCTTTATTGAGAATTATATTGGCTCTTGATTTTGCATGTATACTTTTCACTAAGTTAAGGAAGTTTCCTTCTATCCCAATTTTGCTGAGTGTCTTAATCAGGAAGGAGTATTGGATTTTGTCAAATGCTTTTTCTGCTTTAATTCCTTAGATCATATGGTTCTTGTTATTTGCTTTGTTAATATGGTGAGTAAGGTTGATTATTTTTCTTAGGTTGAAGCATCCTTGCATACATGTTATGAATCCCACTTGGTCATGATGAATTCATTTTTGATGTGATTTATATTCTATTGGCTAGGATTTTGTTAAGGACTTTTGCATCTATGCCCATGAGACATGTTGTCTTTGATTGTCATCGAGTCAAGCACAACTCATAGTGACCTTATGAACATAAGACCTGAAGCCTTTTTTATAATCGTTGTTTATCAAAGTTCATAGAATTTCCAGGGGCATGTTGTTTAGGAAGTGGATGCCACTCCTACTTCCAATCATGAGAGATATTGGTCTGTGATTTTCATCCTTGGTAATATCTTTGCCAGGTTTTTAAATTAGGGTTATGCTTTCTTCATAAAATGACTCTGGGAGTGTTCCTTCTTTTTCAGTTTTTGAAGTAATTTAAGTTGAATTGGTGATATTTTGGTGGAATTCAGCTGTGAAGCCAGGTCTAGGACTTTTCTTATGGGAAATCTTTTTATGACCTGTTCAGTTTCTTTTTTTACAATGGGTTTGTTCAAGTGTTCTATATCTGTCTTTATCAGTCTGGGTAGGGCATGAGCTTCAAGGAATTTGTCCATTTCCTCTAGGTTTTTTACTTTTTCAGAGTATTTCTTTTCATAGTGTTCCAATATTATTGATTTAATTTCTTCTGATTCTGTTGTGATGTCACCTCTATAATTTCTTTATAGAATTATCTGCATCTTCTTTTTTTTTGTTAAGTTCGCCAGAAGTTTGTCAATTTTATTAACCCTTTCCAAAAACCTGCTTCTGATTTTATTGATGGTTTCAGTTGTTTTTCTGTTTTTCTATCTCACTGAACTCAGCTTTTGAACTTATAATTTCTTTTCTTCTAGAAGGCTGTAGGATTAAATAGTTGTTTCTTTTCCTATTTGATGAAGTTTTGAGTTACATCATTGATTTGTCTTCCTTTTTTTATATGTGTGCCTGTTGCTATGAACTGCACCCTGAGAACTGCTTTTGGTATGTTGTATTTTAAACCATGATCTTTTCAGTTACTTCTTTTCCATCTGAAAGTTGGACAGTGAATAAGAATAACAGAATAAATACCTTTTAATTGTGATGTTGGAAGAGTACTGAATATCCCATAGACTGCTAAAAGAAGAAACAAGTCTGTCTTGGAAGCAGTGGAACTAGAGTCCTCTTCAGAGGCAAAAATAGTGAA